AGTGTACAAGCTACTTACGGGTTCTTTCCCTTGGCAGATTGACGCTTTTCTTTGGAATGTACAGTTGTCCATTCATCAGACGCACGACTGCCTGGTTCCACTTCAGCAGCACAGTTCTGCATCTCCGACTCTGAATTGTCTTTCCTGGCATTTCCACCAAGTAGATGACACAGCATCTGGCCAGTACATAATACAATTACCAATCACACTGTCAATCAATTATATTTTAACTCTTTCAGTTCCTTGCAATTCACAATGAGTCAAATTATCACTGCATATACTAGTAGTATTAAATCTGTGTGTGTATGTGTGTGAGGGGGATGGGTAGCGTCAAGCAATTTGGAAAGTGAGCTCATTTGTGCTAGTAATGACCTAGTAATAATCCGTGTTGTGTTTTTTAGGGGGGGGGGGGGGGGGTCAGCTTTAAAAGCCACGAAAACAAAACAGGGCCGTCAGCTTATGTGGAGAGTGATCTCTATTGTGCTTTGTCCAACGTCAGAACTAAACAGTATCAGATATGATTAGGACAAAACAGTGTCAGCCGTCACTCTGATAGCTGGAACTAAATTACCAGTTGTTGGTGATTGCTACTTGTGTTCTTGTGATTGTTTCTTGTGTTCTTTGACACTTTGAATTGTGTACCATTGAACAAACAGAAGTAATGTGTGCAGAATTAAGGTGTATAACAAGAAAACATCAAACAGCTACATAAAGATAAAAGACCACAGTTTAAAACAAGCTTAATACTTTAAATACTTTAGGAACATCTTCATATATGATGGCAGAAAAGACAGAGATATTGAAACAAGATACAAACACACCAACGATGCCACGTATTATTAGGTGACCATAGTTTTGAAACACCGGGCTATCCCAACAGAGACAAAACGACAAATTATAAATACAGTCTTCACACCAACCTTGTACTATCAGTGTCATACTTGGACAATGACTAAAGAACACGAAAGAAAACTGACCAACTGCGAAATGCCAAGTTTGGGGAAAGGCCGTGAACAAAACAAGATGAGATCAGATAAGAAACTAAGACATTAAAATAATTTTTGGAACAATACCTATAATTGAATTCACACTAGAAAAAAAAAGATTTAAATGGTTTCGTCATATAATGAGAATAAATCTAAAGATGGCAGAAATGAGAGGGTACAGCATGACAGTCGAAACGCCAAGAGGTAGGGGAAAGCCAGGAAGAAGATGGGTTGAAAGAGTCACTGATATTTTGAAGCTTCACAGCGTCAATTTCAGCACACCGGGGTAACCAGCCTGCCCTAGCTCTGAAACCTATCATCTATTAACATGCGACGCCTAGCGGCGAATAGCATAAAATGGACACAAGAAAACAATTACGTGTGTTTTTGTTTAACAATACTTGACACTTTTCTTGCTGTCCTCTTCTTTTTAATCACATTTTGGGTCAAAGTAACGTTAGTCTTTCCAGAACCCGCCCATATACATACTAGCTCACTTCTGATCGGTAGTTCCTGAGCCCCGTGGCCTTCGAACAAGGTTACGGGAGTGTTTCGCAATACTTTAATATCGCGTGTTGTATATTTAAGCTTTTAACACTCCAAAAACAGGGAGAAACTGGCTCTAAAACAGCCCCCTAGAGAGTGCTGCAACCTATGTCACAGGCATTTTCTTTCTCTGAATAAAAACGTAAACGCAAGACATCACAGAAACTAAACAACAGAGCGGGACACACCAGTACCCTTCGTAAAGTCGACCAGCTCAAGAAACTTGTGAATGAAAAGTGACCTACTCCATTTCGAGGGACTAACGTTACCTAATCACATTTTGTTGTTAAGTGGAGGATGTTTAAGGAAAGGGGGGGGGGGGGGGGTACGATATACTATCATACAATCCTGCCTCCAAATGCCAGATGCATTTTGTGTGTTTTAAAGCCCCACCATGGCTGTTGCCGGGGGCCCTAATATAACCCCACCTATGGGTTCAATGGAGTTTTTGGGACCTGTCCCCGGGTGATCATCATCCGAATGGTGGCACTTTGCGTCACCAGGTGTTTGTCGCTCAGTGTGATGTCCTGGTGTGGTTGAACATCAGTCAGACATGTGTTATCAGGAAGCATCATATAAAACAGAACCCTGCGCAGGAGGCTGAATAGAAGCAACCACTAGATAGCACCTCCAGACAGAGACAGGCAGTAGCGAAGAATATATACACTGGAAAAAGAGTCAAATCAATAGCAACCTTCAAGCATACCAAAAAAAGAAGAAACATCATCTAACACCCTAACTATAACCTATACAATACAGGTTAAACAGGTCTCACGTGTCATTCATTTACTGGTCGCCCAGGAATGTGTTTCCTATCAGAAATACGTCAGCTAAATCGTATTCTTAGTTCTTTGCGTTCGCCGGGTGTAAACTCCGGCGGAAACTTCTGGTAGTTTGTCCCACTCTGGACTTTCTTGCATATGCATCCGTTTAACAGATCCTTTTTATATGCAGACTGTTGGTTCCTTGATCTCAGACAGATTAAATCCATTTTCGAAGTAAGCCCCAGACTAGTGGACTGTTGCTAAATGCTTGCTGGAGAGCGGTGGGACTTTTCTTCAATCTCCCCCCCCCCTCACCCCCCTCACCCACCCCCCCCCCCCCACCCACCCCCCACCCCCCACCCACCCCCCCACCCACTCGCCTAGTGGGATCCTAGAACCTACAAGGGAGTGTGAGCTAAGTAATTTCTGTGTATTCTTGTGCATGTTTGTAGTATTTTGCGTGTATATATGTGTTAATGAAGGCTGTCAAGCGGTAACGTTCACTTGTCGTTTATGATAATATAAAGCTGGCTGACGCCACCTTTCGTTTGCTTGATCTGTTTTACGATGGATTAGAAACGATCTCCAGAGGGTAATTTTTTTTTTTTTAAAACTTAAGTTCCTAGATCAAGCTTCAAAAATAGGTACCAGGTAGAGTACTGGGAAGTAAAGGCGGCCGGGACGATGTTGAAGACATCACCCATCGCGTACTTTGTGGTCTAAAAAGATATGAGTTTGGCATGGTATGTAAGAAACGTCACTAGCTATTTCGTAACATTTTTATCCCTATTACTTCTCCGTGTGGGTTCCAGGGCCCCATTGTGGGGAAAACAAGAATCGACCCACTGCCTGCCCAAAAGCATGACGTAAGAGTCGACTAATTGGGGAGCTTCCTTTAAAGTCAGAGTACGTCTGCCTGAAAGCCAAGGAACGAACAGTCTGCACTCAAGTGAGTCAGAGCTGTAAAACTGATGCACACACAAAACTCAGGTTCTGGAGCAGGACTGCAGTTCAGAAGTGGACGAACAACCAGAACTTTCCGCGAGAGTGTACAGCTGGTGAACGCGAAGAAGAAGATCCCAATTACTCTCAATAGAATCAGCATTGGAACACAAAACACCAACAATATAAGATACCCAGATGAAACATAGTTGATTGCACACGATACATTAGAGCTGCAGTGTTTCGAGGACGAAGTAATAGTTTATAACTTAGAGGTAAATTGTAAGAAAACAGAAAGTGTGATCATCACCCAAAACAAAACAAAAAAGAAATACCATGCAAATGAGTAAATTTGTTAACAAGTGACTGGTTAAAACCATCTTGGAACAGTCATTACAACAGATGCACAATATCTTGCAGAAATGTTAACAAGAATCGCCATGGCAAAACCTTTAGTTTATATGCAATTGTCGCTGATCTTTTAAACCACACTCTTGTACCGGTATATTAGTATTTTTATTCCTAAAATGTTGCTCTTGCATCATCTGAGTTTTACGACATAAGTATAACAAATATAACACCAAAGTGTGAGGATGAACAAGTTGACTACTAGTATTGTATGTTCTTCTTCTTCTTCTTCAGCATTCCGAGCCCTTGAGGTTCATTGCTGCAGATATCACCAGCCCCCATTCATCTCTCTGGTTGGTCTTCTCTTTTCAGTTGGTGACACCAAGTGTTTGCAGGTCTGTCTGGATATTATCTCTCTATCGTCTTCTTGATCTGCCTCGTGGTCTGCAACCATTTAGCCCCTTGTGTTTACAGTTTTCACTTCTCTGTCATCTGAGATTCTTTCAATATGCCCCAGCCATTTTAGTCTATTAGATCTCATGATGCTAGTATCAATGGTGATTTAAATAGATTATGAATTTCTCTGCTGGGTGTCACTCTCCGTTCCCCGCTGTTTGCAACTTTGATTGGTCCAAAGATTCTACATTAAAAATCAAAAAGATGCTAATTTTATGTTATTACGTTTGAAATTTGCAAATATTTTTCTGACGCCAAAATTGTGTAGAGTTTAAGACAAACCAAACAGGAGCAGAGGAGGGGAAGAAGAACATAAAGAAGGAGAAAGCGGAGAAGGAGGCGAAGATGAAGAAAGAGAAGGCAAAGAATAAGACGATCTGTTTTGAAAGGTTTTACTAAAATACAAGTGTACTCACTTTATCATCGCTAGATCTTATTATCGTGTTTGCATCCATGATTGTCTGCTCCAACGTATCCAAGTCTTCTGTTTCTGTCCATTTTCAATGTCTTTTGAATTCTTTTACGCAGCTCGATTGAAACGGTTTCAGCTTTTTTCAAAACATAATCCGCGGGCTTCAGTTTAGTCAGTTCTTGAATGACCATTTGGACTTCATCATCTGAGCCAGAGGTCCATTGACAACCTCGCCGGGACGTAAACTGACTAGATGAGAAAGATACAAGAGCCACAAACATCGGGACATTTCTGTTACAAATTCTTCCTTCTGTTGGCTACTCAAGCACCAATAGATGTTTAGCACAGCTTGTTTCCTTGATTCTATGAGTTCTAATGAACTAGATTTATGTTTATTGCCTCTAATTGAGAAGGCTGTGCTCAGTAAATATGCACACTTAAACTGAAATGACGCAGCGTGAACTTCTACTGCAGTTGTCACTTCCTGAACCTCAAGCAAAAGAAATTGTTTTAACACTGGATAATTCTCCAATCGCTTCTGTGACTTCAATAAATCATTTTTGTGCTTTTTAGTAAATTGCTGTGATACTGTACAAGTTTCTTTTTTGCAGCCTCTCTATTTCGGCTTCTTGATTTGTTAATGGCTTCATAACGTCTGCATTTTAAAATATGTTTTTCACATTTGGGGCACTGGATGTAGCTAGTGCCATGGTGGCCAAAGCCATACACGTAATCATCTAAATCCCCAACAAAGAAAACATGATTACATGTAGGAATTTTTATCAAAGGTCCATTTTTTATCTGTTTTCCCTTTAATGTCTGGGGTAGCTGTTTCTTTCTTTCCCGTTGCAACTGTACCAGATGTTGTACCTCCAGCAGAATGTTTATTGCCACTAGCACAATTAGTTTTCAGTACTTCGTCTTTCTCATAAGGACTCGAGATTTCAGAAACCCGCTCGTATTTTCTACACAAGCAAAGCTTTCCACATAAGCCCAGAACACTTGTCTTGAGTTTCATTATTTCTTTGAAAGTTCTGTACCCGATCACACGACTGTTTACAAGTGACGTCACAGTTTTCTGAGCATTTCTTGCTACACCAACCGTGTTTGCATCCATAGAGGCAGTTTTCCATACAAGGTTCACATGCATGCCCGCAAAGTGGACGTGGCTTTTTGTTGAAGCATGAACCATGGCGACACTGAAATGGACATGGCTTTTTACAAGGTGAGCAAGGGACACCACAATATTCCCTGCAGGGGTGGCCGCAAGGTTTCTTCTCGCAGTACTCTTCACATGCTACATGAACTGCTCCTCTTAAACAATCTACACATGTCCCTTGGCATATGTGGCCACACTGAAGCACTGCCCCACAAGGCTGATTGCAAGGATGCTGTGGAGGGATCAAGTGACAGGCAACTTTTTCTGTATGCCCACATTCCCGTTTGTACGAAGCCGGTGCAGTACATTTAGTGTGCTCTTTTTTCTTCCTGCACTGACCACATTTGCCGGAACACCGGTGCTCACAGTCAAGGATATACTCGCATCTTTGTGCACAAACAGCCCCTTCTGCTGGTAGAGAACAGGCTACTTGATCTTCATGACCGCATAATGGAATTATCTTTGAAATTAGCACGTAGCACTTCCCGCAAGCTTCATTGCATAGTTTTATGCAGGAATGACCGGCTTCGCATTTTTTATTGCATGCTTTCTTGCATTTGTATTGAAGATGTTCGGGATCATACCCATGGCATGTCAGAGTACAGGTATGTCCGCACAGCAGAGGAAACTGACATAGTCGTCCACAGCCTCCTTCGCGACATTTTTCAAAGTCTTTGTCCGAGGTCATGAGCCTTTGAAAATCGGGATGCTTTTCACAAATAACGGGAAGACCAGTACCAATTATCTGTTCCGCTTTTGCTGTACCAACGATTTTACTCCAGAGCTTACTTTGAGAAGCCAATAGATCAAAGTTGCCAATGACATAGAGACCTTTCTTTGCGCGTGACAAAGCCACACAGACTCTGTTGTCCACTTTGAGAAAGCCAGTCTGCTTTTCAGCGTTGCTCCGTACAAGAGACAAAAGAATGATGTCATTTTCCTCACCCTGGTAGTTATCTACAGTCGTTAAGTTAACATCCTCCTTCTCCTCTGTATCAAGAGTTTTATATATTTCAGAGATTTGCCCTGCATATGTAGCTAACATAGTTATCTGGAAGGCATTGTATCCTTGTTTTAATAAGAAACGGTACATTGCTACAAGGAACTTGGCCTCGTGTGCGTTTGCTTTGCTCATTGAGTCATCCAAATGTGTTTCTTTGTGATCGTGTTGAATAAAGAAAATATTCTTTGACACGCCACGGATCTTTTCATAGTTTGTGACAGACGGATGGTCCTGAAGATCTGGATAGATATGACGCAATATTTGAGAAATCTCTGGTCGCATTCTGTGTTGTTCTTTTAACATTACATGTGGGACTTTGTTCTTGATGAGTCTCTCAAACAAGGAGATTTCGAGACCAAATTCTATGGCTAGCTGGTAGACTGTTGTTTTAGGTCGCAGCTGTTGATGATCTCCGATTAAGATGAGATGTTTGCAGTTTTCGTTCAGAGATGTCACAATGTGAGATTCCAAGACTTCTGCTGCTTCTTCAACAACTATAATTCTACAGCCTACAGCTTGTAGGACACCCCTGAGTCTGGCGGCTCCGGAAGTTGTCATTCCAATCACTTTGGCATGTCGTAGTACATACAATGTCTCTTCACTCTTAGCCTGCTGTTTCTTCTCTTGCAAAGATGTGTACTTATTTACAAGCTCGTGCATTTTTTGCGCAAGACTCTGTTTGTATCTCTTGATCCATAAATTATACAAGGAAAATCTTTCATTCATTTCTAGATTCCAAACATTTGTAACGCTTTTTTCAGTCTCTTCTGATGCTGGTTTTATTACTCTGAGTTTGTGACACACTTTTATAATATGCAATGGTTTCATGTGTATTTTCCATTCTTCCAACGCCTCCTCCTCTTCCTCTTGCTCAGTGGAAATGTCATCAATGATTCCAAGTGATTGTGTTTCTCTGGATGACAAATGTCATGCTATTCAAAGTAGATGTAACACCTTCATTCGTCGCAACATTCTCACCATCGTCATCTACCATCCGGTCATTCTGTTCTCTATTATAAACATCATCAAAATAGACATTATTTACTTCCAATTTCTTGTTGTGATTCATTATAAACTCAACATCATCTAACTGAGTTTTTAAGTGCTTGTTCAGCCCTAGAAGCCAACTTTCAATAATTCCATCACTGGGTGCAACAAACTCATTGTTGTCCGATGTTAAATACTTGGACATTTTTTCCAGAGAAGCTTGAGGTAAAACCTTTTTCATTTCACCATCCCCCAAAATGTTATTTTGTGCATCCTTCAAACAATTTTCAATCGTTCTTATTTTATTTGTAGTTTCATTGTTTTGTTTTTTACTGGAAAGCAAGTAAATTTCTTTCTTTGAAATGCTCCTGTACTTGTTCAGGTAAAAGTGATAGAAGCTTGCCCTCTCAATTACGTTTCATTGCTTTTGATAATTTTCTAACTGAGAATGGAATCTCTAATGTCAAGACAAGAGTGGTCAGATGTTCTTTGATCATCTGTGGTATCACTGATTTAATACTATTGTTATCAGTTCTCAGCCAGAGGTTTATTTGTCCAGGGTTATTTATTTGTTCTCTTGTTCTTACAAGAGAGTCGTAGTGAGATGGTTTGATAAAAGCCTCCAACAATGTCTCACTTATTATCTCTGTCTCCAGAGACTCCATGATTTCTCTGAGCTGATTTATCTGCGTAGATAACTTGTCCATTTCTACACTGCTTTCCTTAACTGATTGTTTCACGTAAGCTTTCTGAAGATGTTGGTTTTGTTTTAACTCTGTTAAGTTAAACTTTTGAAGTTTTTCTGATTTGCTCTGACCCCCAACACGAACGATGCCATCAGGACACAAGTTAAGAACGCCTTCCAGAAACTGATCAAGAGCGTGGTTTGTGTAGCAGACGACAAGGATAGGGTCATTGGATTTCAAATCACTCCCCTTTAGGGTATCTTTATTCTCTAACAACACTTGCATGATTTTCAGACCTACGTACGTTTTCCCTGTACCCGGAGGTCCTTGAATGATCGCCAATTCTTTGGTCAGTGCTAACTGAGCAGCCTCTCTCTGGGCTTCATTTAAACACATCGCATCGGCTTTTGGCCATTTGACCGTTGTAAGTACAGGAACCTTACATGACAGCTTGCTTTCCGTTAGACATGATAGATCAAATCGAGGCACACGACGTACGCTACCAGTAGATAACAAATACTGCGGTGGCTTGATTTCTGTCTTACAGTGAAGGATGTAATCTTGCAGTGGCAGTTTAGAGACCATCTCTTGAAGGCCTTCAAGAACATGACAGTAAGATTCGAAGTAAGCTGTTGTTTGTGCCATAATGTACATATCATTTGAAGTAGAGCTAAATACTTCATCTAGCCCTGTTTTGAAATTAACAATGACAATACCTTTGGCTAGCTTATCCTTGTCGCATTGGGTTACTATGGCAAAAATAGCAGACTCAAAGTCATCTTTTGATAGACATAACAGTGAACCAAATATAAAGCGTTTCAGTGCTCGGCTGAATATTTCGGCGCAGAAACATCTAACTGAAGACAGTGATCAATCCTTTCAGATATAACAGTTCCGATAATTTTGACATCATAAAAGAACTTAACATCTGAAGAGTTAAAGTATTTCTTGCAACCAGCTTGTTTAAAGTTTACTATAGCGTCTCTTAGCGGGTAAATGAAATCTTCTCTCATAAGTCTGAACTGGACGTCGAGATAATGTTGAATGTTTTTATATCCTCCTTCGATCTCCGCTGCACGAATGAATGGTCTAGCATCTTCCTGCAGGTCTGCAATAGTTGGTATCACTGTAAGCTTCATAAAGTCCTCTGGGGGTTCCTCAAAATTTCGAGATTGTATAAGTCCTTCTCTTGATCTATTCTCTTTGTCTTTCTGTGCTCTGTATATTTTATAACTTTTTTTCAGTAAGCTCTGTTATTTCGTTTAACAATGACGCTTTTGTTTTTATGGATTCACACTGGGTAACAGACTGTGAAAGTTCTGATACCTTGGAAGCACAAATATGTGCATACTGAGGTAGTTTGTCCAGAATCTCCTTCAGTATACGTAAGTACGACGTAAAGAAATCCTTGGCATCATTCCATGTCTCTTTAGTAATCTCCTTGTACTTCAGGTGATCTGTCAAATGTCCCATGAACTTAGTTTTGCAGAGAATATCTAACAATTGTCGTATGGACTCCTTCTGATGTTGGGCAGTCAAAGCATGGCTGATGGCGTCTACAAGTAGGTCAATCATGTAGTCACTTATCTTGGCTTGGTTTAATAGCACCTCCAGCTGTGGCAGTTCTGAAGTCATGGTCAAAATTAGCTGACCGGCGTCCTGCATGTCCACCCATGTTTTCAGTACGTCATGAGATATATTTTTGGGCACGTTTCTTTGGTGGCTGCGACCTATAATCACCGCGCGTTGCTCTTGTGGCACATCTGTCCTGCTTTCGAATCTAGAACTTCTATCATTTTGAATATTGCCAGTGTCTCTTCCATGTCTGTGGAGTTCTGTTGAAGAGTCATATTGACCATCCACTCCATTCAGTTTTCTTTCTTTACTACCCATCTCCTTAGCTTCAGTGGTTTAGAGGTTGAGAACAGTTTCACAAAACCCACATACCTTCTTAGAAATCAGATGCAGGCTTTTTGATAGCAGAAAGCTTTATGCTGAATATGGTATTAGCGTCGTATCGTTAACTGGCAATGGTGAACTGCTGAAGGTATTATTGCCTAGTTAACCCAGTAAGTAAATGTTGGAATGGAATCGATTTACGATGCCCTGAAGAGGATGTGCAACAAATAACTACTGATTTTTTAAAACTATGTACTGTTTGAACTGTCAACTCCGCCGATTCCAGTATATTTTTAGACTATCTCGTTTGCTTATGCGAACTATACCTTTGCAAACTTTACCTGTGCTAATCGATGAAGATAAGGTCATTTTGCACTCCTGCAGCTCCCGATGATTTCACAGGCTGTTACCAGGGATTAAAGAAATAGATACAAGGGATATAAATAACGTGTGATCGCAAATGTGATGGGGTAAAACATCTGTCGATTCGCGTGTCAATAGCCATTTTTCTGTAGTACCCTTGGACAAACGAAAGTTTAGATTGTTCCTTGTTTGTTGGTATACATGCACAATTTCTGATCAAGTTGGTTCATGCCGTGGGGTAGGTGGAAAATCACTGATCAAGCTTGGCACGTTCTGTTGTATACATGGACAATCATTGATCAAGCTTGGCGCATTCCGTGGTACATATTGACAACCGCTGATCAAGCTTGGCACGTTTTGTGGTATACATCGACAATCACTGATCAAGTTTGTCGCTTGACTTGAAATTAGAAGATTTAACAGAATCCAAAGTTTATTTATCGATATGTCTACATTGTTCCAAGAGACTGTTTTATTTCCTTTGCTACAGAGATGTGTGTAGCAAGCAGATTAAAAAAAAAACTAACTTTATTTAACGGTGTTAGGATTACACCACCTTTCCAGAATGTGTTACAATTGGTGTCTTGGTGTGGACAGAACTTTCGTCTTGCCATGTGACCAGCAATGATGCTTGTCATTTGCTAAATCTGCAATAAAGCATTTAAAAATAACAGAGTATGACACCAGAGGGAGCCGCGGTTACGCAGAGGATTAGAGTACGCGCCACTTGGCCCGAATTATAAGGCGCCACCTGGCTTGAAGTACATGGCTTTTTACTTCTTCTTCGCGTCCATCGGCTGTAGACTCCGGTGGAAAATTTTAGTTCTTCGTCCACTTCTGGATCTCAGTCTTGTAACAGAACTTTATATGTTGCGTGCACATGCGTTTCACAGATCTGGATTACTTGTATGCAGACTGTTGGTTCCGTGCCGATCTGGCAGATGCGCTTTTTTTTTCAACAACTGACTTCAGCTCACATGTCAACACAGTCCAAAAATGGGCATCAGGTAAGGCCCTGGGAAGTAAAGGCGGCTGGCATGATGCTGACCACATCACCCATGAATGGTCGATAGGTCTATGAAACTAAACGTCTAGCGCGAAAAGCAAGAAAAAAGGTCCTTTGCTTTACTGTCTGGATCTTTTCTCCAGGGCACGAAACACACTGGTGTGTTGGGAAATGAACAGGCGTACAGACCGGCTAGCTCTGCATAGCCTTGTCGAATACTGATGCATGTTAAGGCAGGCGTGGTCAGGGCGTTATGGGAGAATGTGTAAATTTTAGAGGAACAAATTGATTACCACAGTCTGGTGAGATTGATGCAGCGGGGATAACGAGAATTTCTGGCCGATACCTGACCCTCAGGGGAAAGGCAAATTGGATGTGTAATCAAAATACTAATGGCACCATTGGTACTGGAAATCTGCGCTGGCTGTTGAAGATGGGGACGGAGCACTTATGGGAATGTCCCGAGTGCTGTGATGTCTGTTCTTGAATCAATCCAATGCTACTGGCACCATTGGTACTGGAAATCTGCGCTGGCTGTTGAAGATGGGGACGGAGCACTTATGGGAATGTCCCGAGTGCTGTGATGTCTGTTCTTGAATCAACCCAACACAAACTTCAGCTGTGACACCTGAAAAACTCATTAATCTTTGTCTTTGTTTTTGTATCCACAGTGGAGCTTTTAATTAACTTATACACGTCATTAATATCCCTTGCATCGCATGCAGCTCATCCGTTGTCCTCCCCGCAACCCCCTCTCCCCAATCTTTTTCACTTCAGTCTCCTATTCCGTTCTGCCTTTATTTCTATGGCCCTGTTTGTTTCCAGCTCAAGGACATTCTAATGTGGTGCTTTATTAATATGCTACCTCAAACAGGGGAAATGCAGAGGTCACGGAACAATCTAATATTTCAGGGGGGTGGAGGTGGAGGAGGAGGGTGGGGGGGGGGGTTATGCCCTCCCCCCAGTTTTAACTTAACAATTTGTAACGCTGTGGAGGCTGGGCATAGAGTTAAGACCCTCCCCCCCCCCCTCACTCTTAAGCTTTAACTTAACAATTTGTAAGGCAGGAACGGTGGGTGGTGGGGATGAGCGCCCCCCTCCCCACTCCCACTTTTCCAATGTGAACTTCATGGCGGCGGCGCCTAATCTTCTTTGTTACTTCAACAGCCTAAGATACACCAGCTCAACTGTTGAGATTTTCCCCTCATTAAAAATTAACATTAAAAAAAACACACACACATTTTGCGGGCGGCAAAGAAGATCGAGAATCATAAAGTCAAACTAATAAATAAAACAGAATGAATATGTAGTACAGCTGTTTCGGAAAAAGAATTAAATGTCTTCGTTTAAATACTCACATGAAAATAATGCTTACCTGAATTTCACACATCGATCGGATTCATGGATAATAAAATGTATGTAAAATGACGGTGCTAAATCATCTAAGCCCTTTACCATCAGGATTTTTACACAACAGAAAAAAAAATGTAAACGCCATGATTGTGCAGTCTGAAAGTTTGACACCCAGTAGCTACATCTAAATAATCAAACATAAAACTGAGTCCAGGTATTTTACGTAACAAACCAAAACAGGTTTAAATCTCCGGGAATTTCAGCACTTTCAGTTTCACTTCTGAGAAATTGCTTAACTCAGTGTTCTTCAGCCTGGGATGTGATACGCGAATCGAGGCTAGTCAACCAAAAATGCTCCTACAATCTTATAATTGCAATATTTTCAGGCATTACATTGTTGTGGGTGAGCGAGACGTTGCATGTGACAATGTAGCACCGGAAGTAAGAAGCGTTGGAAGGGATGTGATGAAGGAAGCACGGGGGGTGGAGGGGGGGGGGGGGGGTACCGTCTAAGGTGTAGTTACCAAAGAAGGTGCAAAATTTGAACAATGTGTTTTTAAAAATTTCAAACATATATATATATATATATATATATATATATATATATATATATATATATATATAGTATATATATATATATATATATATATATATATATACGTATATATATATATATATATATATATATATATATCTATATATATATATATATATATATATATATGTGCGATTTGGGGCACCATCATTATTAAATGTCACCCCTAAAAGACTCTTTCTCTACTCAGTTTTCCAGCCTTATGTGCTTTTATAGCCTATGCATCTTCGAAGTGTCTATTTCAGTAATGCTTAAATAAAAAAAGATGCATTTTTAAGGGTGCCGGTGCCACGTCAAGTCACCCCAAAAAAAAGCCTGGTTATTTGTCTTATTTTTAGTTTCTTACATAAGGTTTTGTCGGCTCTGTGGCTAAATCAATGCGAACGCTTCGTAATGCCAGGGTGCCGGATTCGATCCCAGCTGCGGGTCATGCGCCTTGCGTTAGTTTCGACAGTAGTAGGGGGCCGACCGTCCAGTGGCAATGGCAAACTACTGGACGTAAACTTGCCTAGAGAAACCACACAACAGCCAGGGACTGCGGGGGTTGGTTCTGAAACGTCCTGTAAAGGATACGCAACTAATCTAACACAAGGTTTTTCCCCTTGATCCCTTTCCCTCCCTCAACTTCAGCCCCCAAACGTTGTTTATGTCGACACCTCTGCAATGAATATTAGACCCAAGGAGTGCTAGGCAACCGCATGGGATCAGTTGGAATACACAAGACTGTCTGCCTAGCCAGATAGGCAGACTCGCTGCTTGTTTGTCTTATGGCAACTTTTAGCACTGAACTAAATAAAAACCGAAACCAACCTAAATCCTCCCGGCAGTTTGCAAGAAACTGACGTCAGTCCAACAGGGGTATTTTAAACTCTCAGCTGGCTATTTTCAGTTTTAGGCATGTTCTAGTCAACGCTGTCTCTAATAAATAGAGAAGGGCGTGGTTCTAGTTTACATACAGAAATGACGTAAGTAGGGGGCGGGGGGGGGGGGATGACCGCAGTCAAGTGATGATAAGAAGTGTTAGATACAAATATATGCGGCAGGAGCAGTCAATTGAAACATCTAAAGTAGCGGTTCTTAACCTGCTAGTCGCGACCCTTGTGTGTGTGTGTGGTTTTTTTTTTTTTTTTTGGGGGGGGGGGGGTGGTGGGGGGGGTCGAATGACCCTTTCACAGGGGTCGCCTAAGACCACATATTCATTGCAGTCGATGATGACAAGAAGCATTACATACGAATATCTGGGGCAGGAGCATTCGATTTGAACATCTAAAGTGATGACGTAAAGTGCGGATGAATGTAATCAAGCCGATGAATGTGCTGTGAGGAGTGACTTAGGGGCGAGGCTCAATACTCAGGGAAAAGGCGAGGCGGATATTCAATCAGAGTGTTACTGGCACCCTCAGAGCTGGAACTCTGTGCTTGCTGCTGAAGATGGAGACGGAGTGCTGATCAGAAGTGTGGTTGTATTTGTGCACGTCTTTTGTTAGTTACTTCTTCCTGGTTTCCTGTTGACCCTGGTTGTTTACAAGCTCTTCTCTGTTGTCTTGTCTGTTGAGTTTTCCAGTCACAGTTTAGTGCTGAATGTAGTATTCCGTTGATAAAGACTTTGGTCGGTACGTTCGGTTGAAATTGTTTTTTTTTCCCATTCCCTCTGGTAAGTTTTCTTGTTGCATTTTATGTTTTTTGGCGCTACGTACATAAATATCTGGAAGATCATTGAGGCCAAATAAATGGCGTCATTAACAAAATAGCTAGTACATGCGTACTTCTTGTGTATATATCTGTAAACTGGTACTGACTGTGACATAGGAAGAGAAGTGCACGGTGCCAGCTGCCCTGATTGTCATAACTGAGGGTGGGAAAGGGGGAAAAAAGGGGGAGGGGAGGGTAATGACACAATGGCGACATTATTGTAACATAAAAAGTGTGTGGGGGAGGGGGGCTAAAAGTGTTCTGCAAATAGTACCACCTGACCTTGCTATGGCACCCACCTGACCTTGTTATGGCACCCACCTGACCTTGCTATGGCACCCACCTGACCTTGCTATGGCACCCACCTGACCTTGCTATGGCACCCACCTGACCTTGCTATGGCACCCACCTGACCTTGCTATGGCACCCACCTGACCTTGCTATGGCACCCACTGAAAATCAATTCATCCAAATTTTGTTTATTGCTTGTTTAATTGCTGTTATCAGCGACAGGTTTCTATTGTATTAAATATTAACTATATTAATTAACTATATTAATTAACTATATTAATTATTAATATTAGTAGTAGTATCTGAATTAAATCAATGAATTCACACTGCTAAAAGAAGAAGATCAGGAGGGATGAGGAAGAGGAGGAGCAGCAGCAGCAGAAAAAGAAGAAAAAAACAGAAGAAGAAGAAGAAGAAGAAGAAGAAGAAGGAGGAGGAGGAAGAGGAGGAAGATTGTTGTACTATACAACTAGCAAGAGAAAGAGAATTACATGTAAATCCTCTCTGTGACATTTTGCGACATTAGCAGTTGGACAAATGAAGAAGATTGCATTATGTAATATATTTTTAACTCCTTCTTACTGAGCATACAAGAAAGATTCATGTTTTTAATGGCGATGAGAATGATGATAAAGAACTGCAGTGATTCTGTTTTGTTATTTAATCATATATTTTATTTTAACGATGAAAACAAACAACTATAAACAAATTAAAATGTGAACTAAATAATTATGATAACAAACAAAAGAACAAAATAGCAATTCTGATGTCCATATTAGCCTTCAGTCCTATGGGTACAAATGTACCTGGGAATAAATATCTTTAAATTGTCTTATTTAGGCTTCCCAGTCGACCAATCCTAAAACTGTTACCAGCGAATATCTCGGAAAGTTAAAATGGCCTGTTTCACTCACAAGTGTCGATTGGTCAATTCAAAAATAAGTCTACCACCATATAATAATGTGCCCATTTCATTAAAAAAATAAGTATGGCCAGGTTTTTTTTTCTGGCGATATACAACAGTACTGTACAGGTATTTTAGTTTCTATGGAGAACAAACGGTCCTGAATATGGGACCGTTTTTATATATGTGGCGTATTGTGTATATGATGCTGCACTCCATTTTTAACGACCAATCTGCACTCGTTAGGGGATGAAGTCATCTGTATATCAGCGACTTTTACTTCCCGTGGCATTTTCTGATACCCATTATAGACTGGGTTGACTTGGGAGCAAAGATTACCTATTTAATCAAAAACATCCAGTGCGGATTCAACCTGAAAACCTTGAGGTCTACTGGCAAGCTTCCCGCCACTGCAGCTCCCCAATAAACAAAGAATGTACATCTTCTCTTCCCTCCCCACCCAATGACATTAAACCATATAATCATAATAGGAAATAGTGACTAAATCCAAACCCATTAAGAAACTAGGGCATTAATTATTATAATCAAGAATCCAAGAAATGTGGTTTCACCACCTCTCTCAAGAGGGACAATGTATTATATTCAGACTAAGGACCGCGCACAACAGACTTCATCAAGATATGTTCAGACTTGTTGGTATAGGAAACACGGAGATGTGTTCCTATAGCGTGGCACCAGAAAATGGTGAGCATGTGCTCCAACACTGTCAACTGTATGCTGCCAACAGAGACGCAATCTGGCCTGTTCCAACCACAATGAAACAAAACTGTATGGTACACGAGAGGATATGGACTGCACGATAGCTTTCATAATGGCTACCGGTCTCCTGAAATGTTTTCTGACAGAAGGATCAAAGAAGAAGAAGAAGATAAAAGGAAAAAATAAAACAATGAATTCATTTCACCTGCAACTGAAGTACAGTGGACAAATGGTACTATCTTCATATTTTATAAACCTAATGAAAATTTTACGGGTGGTGTTGTAAATCCCAATCCTCAATAGAGCATGAGGTAGACCAAGAACAAGATGTAAGGATAACATCAGAGAAACTCTACAACAGCACGATGTGCCTATGGTCGAGGCGGCCAGAAGAGCTAGAAACAGAACCTTATATCTCCCTCGACACCCACAGCGGTAAAAGAGGAAGTGAAGAAAAAGTGAAGAAGAAGAAGGTGTTGTAAAACATATCAACAGCCTTTTCCGGGGCTTTGTTTTCTTTGTCACTCTAGAAAAATATGTACCGGTATTCCCACAAAGTCTCTGAAAACATGTGCT